AGACATTATCTGGGCATCCCCACAGGTTCATCCATGAACCCTACTAGTCTTTTGCAGCTAAATAATAGCAAGGACAAAATCATGATTACATAAGGACTCCCAGGTGCAACAGGAACTACAAGGAAGAACCAGTTTCATCAATCTTCTAATTTGAGCATTGATTTTCTTTCCCTCAGCAAGAAGCACAAATTCATCTCTCATGAAAGGGAAACAGCCCAGGCAAGAAACGTTATAGATGTCATGTACCGAATCCAACAAGATTTCCGGAACTGAGAGAGCTCAGCAGTGGCACATTTTAATCTTATTACAAGCACTTTGCTTTACTTCTTTATTTCAGCAATGTGGTAGAAAACAAACAAACAAACAAACAAACAAACAAACAAGCAAGCAAGCAGCCACTTTCCCTCTTCCAGAACTGGAAGTCCCCAGGCCTGGGCCCAGTGCCTTCTCTGTAGCAGAGCTGCACAGAGGCCATGGTCTCCTTCAATTCAACAAGGTTTCCATGGCAAAGAGAGCTGAGAAAACTGAGGACACCACAGTGAGCTTCTGACCAATATTTTAGAAACAGCTGATAGAGCCTAAAGGCATCAAGGGTCATTGCGAATGTCATCACTTCAGCTCTTAAACAAAACTCTAACTTTCTAGCTATCAGTCACCTACAGTCTTTTTTTCTTGAGCCTAAAGCTTGACTTCTTGTCAGCATAGACATGAAAAAGGATATTTATGTAAATTTCATTAGGAAACTATTTTCAACACTTTTGGTTAGATTTTGTCTTCAATTACTACTTGTTTCTGCCAGCCTCCTAGTGTAAAATTTCTTAATTTCTCTCTTTTTTTTTTTTTTTTTTCTTTTAAGGATTGCTAGGATTGTGTTCACCTTTGCTTGCTAATTCCTTGATGAATAACTTTCACCAATTTAGAAGGTTAAAAATCTACCCAGGTAATGGCAGCAGCAGATCCCTGCAAACTGTTTCTACTATTAGTTGTACCACATGGTCTTGCCTCTGAAACTAGAATCTAAAACACAAATACATGTTTTTGAGTATGTTTGCTTATCTGACCATGTCCAATGGTTTTTAGCCAAAGACTTCTGGATTTACCCATAATGTAAATTAAAACTGGCATACAGCCATTCACATGTGCACTGAAACTCTCAGATCTTGAAATGGCGAACAAAAAAAAGTCAAAACCAGCTGTCTTGCTCACTTTGAGCCTCCTATGCACTCTGAGACAGGATCATAACTGCACCTCTGAGAGAAGTGACTCTCCTCTCCACCCTCACTGTGGCTGTCATGCCTGGGGACTGCTCCTTGCACAGTTTGAGGAGCAGGAAAAGTAAAAGGAGAAAGTTGTCCCAGGTAAAATAATGGGAAAATTTCCACTGACTTCAGGGTGCCTGGAAGTCAGTTTATATTTAGATAAAAAACAGATTTCTATATGGTAGCAATGTCTCTTCTGATACAATTAGCTTTTAAGGTCACAGAGTGCAAGCCAGAAAGAAGTCAGGGCATGTGTTGATTGCAGGTACTTGTAAATGGCTATTTATATTTTCACTCTGTCAGTTAAAGTACAATACTTATTTTTGTAAAGTAGTTTAGGAACTGGGAACAACAGCAAGAGAAGGTCCTTGGAAAGTAAAAAATACATGAAAAGCCATTGCTAAAAAGCGACACAGAGAATGAACATGGTATAAAATCTCTTTTGTTGGAGCTCAATGTACAACAAAACAGAAGAAATCATCACTTCTAAAAGTGGCTTTCACTAGTATCATTTTAGTCCCTAAAGTGTGCTTTATAGACAAGCATACTTTAGACAAGCCTATTTTTAAAATAGGCTTTTAAGTTTAAAGCTGCAAAGCTAAAAAGGTTACCTGACATTTGACAAAGATTAGCCCTTACAAGTTCCCAGTGAAGTATCTATTTCTGAAAATGTGGTTGTTTTCAGAACAGTCAGGACATTTCTTTGTTTACATTACACTTCAAGCTATCATCTTTACTGTGTGTGTGGAAAAATCTTGAACTTGATTTTGCCTCTTAAACAGATTTGGAAATTTCTGGACACCAAACCACTAGTGGTGAGTTATGGCTCAGAGATGCAAGGTCATGCCAAACACCTGCAGGTAAAAAGGCTACTGCTTTGCCAAGGGATAGAGTGTTTCTCTTGCTCTTGTGCTGCAGTGACTGGGGGAGCTGTCAGACATTCACAGTGAGGGCCCTGACTGGACAGGGGCACCCTGTGCTCCTCTGCACTGAAAGACACATTGCGGTGTCCATCACCCCATCCCCTGGTGTGGAACCAGCTCCCACACAGATGGAAAACACAGGCATGGAGTGAGAGGAGAAGCAGCAATATTACTGTATTCTAAATTAGCAAGAAAGGCAGGGAATCAACCACAAAAACATGAAAGGGGGCTTCAATTCCCATTCCCAGGACTGAGCTGCAGTGTCTGCAGGAGAGAGAAAAACAGAAGGAGTCTTGTCCTTAGGCTGAGAAAAAACACTGGGAAATTCAACAGTGTAAGTTAGAGAAATGAGGAATCGACAGCTGCGACCACTTCTTTAATCTGCAGTATCCCTACAGAAAGTAATAAATTGGGTTGCATTAGCGGTAAAGGTTAAATACTTTGTTTTCAAATACTTCTCACAATTTACTCATGCCTCCCACAAAAGTGCGTATGTTAGTTAGCCTCAGAAAAACTGATGTGTCTAAGGCTTGGAAAGGAAAAAAGAATTGTGATGAGATTTGACATCCTGAAGGGCTTGTTCTCTAATCAGGGAAGAAATGAAGCATTGAATTTTAAAAGAGATTTTCAACTGAAAATTTTAATTGGACCTCACCTTTAAAGTGTTTCAAATCCTCTCTGGGTACAATACAGTGCACATAAAAAAGGCTGTGATATTTTGATGTTTGCTTATCTCCATGCTGTCCTGAAGTATGACAGAACATGGTGTAAATTATGAATAGAACGTGGGCGCTCTGCTGCTGCACTGCAGGAGATGTGGTTAGAATAGGATTTTAGAGTTCAGCATTTTGTGTCTGTCAGTAACAAACTAAGCCAAAGGAAGGGATCTCGGTGCATGTCTGCAATTTATTACTGCACAAGCCATGACTTGGTCTTCTGTCTTGGAACATTTTCTCTCCATCTTCCTTCTTTTGTACGAGTGTAAGTGAAAGAGACAGAGTGAAATGTGCAGCTGCAGTCACTTCATTAGCACAATGGGTTTTATCCTTGTTGCCAGCATACTGAACACAGTAGAAGCTACATGTTTTCATTAGGAATTTGTAAGTAGCATTTTTCTTTTTATATTGCTGTGGTTAAGCACCCAAGTTATCAGTGTTTACCCATATTTTCTAAGGAAAATCCATGCTTGACCTTCTTTAACAATGATCTTTGCTCAGAAGGATAAAATGAATATTGGTTTTCCTCCTTTTGAATCACAGAACAGTATCCTTTAGAGGTAACTTTTTTTGATGTTTAAAATCCATGATTCAAGTATTGCTGTTCCCAAGTGACCAATGTTTGGGATGGGACAAGCGAGAGAGACAAGAGTATAACACCTGGCAGAGTAAGTCCTCAAATGAATTGGAATTATTTCAGAAAATGATAAATGACAACTATAAAAGCAAGAATTACTGATACTAAGAGAGAAAAAACTAAATTACATCTATCTAAGCAGTGATTATTTTAAGTATCTATTTCTGCATATTCTAATATGACTGTTATTAAATTAAAATAATTTATGGAAGTAAGCATGCACATTTAAACTGGCAGCTACTTTGTGGATAGGAGAGGATCTCAGCTTCTGTAAAAAAAGGTGTCTGTCAAAATCCTCCATGACTCACAGTCCCTCTGGGCCTCAGTTTCCTCCTTGGTAAAATAAATAGAATAACCTGACTTCTTTCCTCACTGAGCTGCTACATTAATGCATCTCTTTGTAAATCCCGTAGAAGGTTACAAAATGTTCTGATGTTCTGTGGCTTGTTGTTCTGAGCATTTTCTATTTTGAATCCTTGTGCATTTTTAGATGGGAGGCAGAAATGGGTCATTCCCTAGTGATTTTATTATGGAAGTCTTACATAAGAACCTGTAATTTTGCAACTACTCTTTCCCTTATTAGTGACAGGTTTAGCCACCACTTGTTTATCAGTACATATTTATTTTAATATATCACACTGGCTTCTGCCTACAGGCTATTATCTTGACCTGTAAAAAAACCTTTTATTAGTATTTCTGCAGAAAAAAAGGTCCTATCACCAAAGACATAGTGGTAGCCCAAAACATCAGGAACTCTGACCCAAGAAACCAAATCTAATTAACCAGAGCCTGCAGCCCAGCCCAGTTTGCTGTTCAACAACAATTTTGATTAGTACAGCTAGAGACAAAGACGAACTTTTCCTTCAGTCCACAAAAAGGTAAAGATGAAAATTCATGTATATGTTTGACTGAGCTGATGCATATACTGTGGATTACTTTTGTTTAGGCTGGATGTCCTTGAATCACAGAACAACTTGAATGACCATTTGCAGCCTGCTCAGTGATTAAGTAAATGAACTCAAGCAAATGAACTACTAGTACATTCCCAAACACTCAGTACAGTTTATTGAAACTGATCAGCTTAAACAAGCAGTAAATTGAGATACACTTCAACCTCTACCTATTTGTTGAATACAATTAGGGAAAACACCTCCTTGCTCACAGAGAAGTAAAGCTGGCTTTCAGTACTGACAGGAAGTGAAAATCTTTAATGCACAGATGTTGGCAATTTACATTCAGTGTTGGGAATAAAAATCTAAAAGACACGGGTGTCTTCTGGAGCTCCAGAGAGCAGCACATACATCAGCTCAGCAGTGACTGTGTTTATGTGCTGTATGAAGAATGTATATTCAAGTCAGCACCTAAAATTGCAGTTGTTAACACATCTTGAACTGAAATGAAATTTGGGCCTTGGTGGAGAGGAATAAAAGACAGATATTCTTAGAAAGTAGGAAATCTGCCTTACCTCCATCTAGTTCTTCAGCTCCAAAATGATTTCTGTAGAAGAGCATAATCTCTATCTTGTAACACTTGTAGATAGTCACTAAACAAACAAGCAGCAGCAGAATAGCACCAAGGCCACCAGCAAGCTCAACTGTGTACATCAGCTCTGCAAAGAATTACAAAATGCAGTAACAACCACATTCCAAACCACAGAAAGATTAGCAGCAGACCTCGCATTTCTGTTAAACATTAAAATAAAATAATGAATAATGGGTTATTTATGTATTTCTTCATTATAAAGCCCTTGAATGAATACCTGTTTGATGGGGATTTTATTCTTCAACAAGCTATTTTTCCCTCTGATACACTATATGTAAATTGCTTATGTAAAAAAAAAAAATAAAATTGCTGGGAATGTGTGCGTGTGTTTGTCTATGAATATGTGAATATGTGTGATATATTTTGTAACTCTCTTCCTTTTTTCTTTCTGTAGATCACAGTTTGCTTTACCTAGATGAATGTTGCCATTTGACTTAGAGTGAAAACAAAGGCGAATGTTTCCTTCTTGAGGACTGTAATGCAAAATCAACTCTTCCTTTATTCCATATACAAACAGGATGTGGGCAAACTGGACAAGATTAAGGATTTTATTATTTTTTCCAAAATAAAAATAAAAATAATTTAAAAACCTCACAAAACACTTGAGAGATGTGAAGACACATTATCCAAGGAACCATACAACCTCACATCTCAGTTATGCTAATATTTTTAACATTTTCCCAGAGGTCCGCATTTTACTCTCACTTTTCCACTTCTGGGCTTAGCTAATGTGTAAACCTAGCAAACAGTCCTGGTTTGTCTGCTGTGACATTCCCATTCAGACCCTGGGTGTCTCTGCTGTGTCTGCTCTCAGGATGGATTGGGATCATCACCATGGAGGACAGGGAGTGGTCAGTTGTGGCCACCACAAGTGCCCAGCACCAGCAGTGTAGCCACTTTTCAGGCCAAAGGAAATATGCCACCATGGACTTTTGCCTCCCCCAGTTTGAAGGAAGGTCACAGAGCTTAGTTACTTTTCATTTGCTCATTGACTGAAAACTGGTAGTGTCAAAAAATGAGGGGAGGAAGAGAATTGCTAACAATTTTGTAATTTGGAATCACTAGATGGCAAGTCTGAACACCTTCCATGCTTTTCCAAAACACTCAGTTTTGAGGAATGATAAAACACCAGATCTTGGAAATCTAAGATACAGAGTTTGCTTCATAAAAGATCTGTGCTGAAACAAGTGTTGTTTTCACAGTGTCCTCTTCAGGTGGGCAGCTTCTGTCTGGCTGAAGTAGTGTGGACCTGGAGTAACCTTTCTTGTGTGTGGTTGTGCAGATTTAATAATCCAGCACAATACAATTCAATTAGAGAAATAAAAGGTGAGAGGAAAAAATTGAAAATTGCATTTATTTGACAGCATCTACTGAGAATCATACACCTTTTTTTTTATTATTATGAGGCAACTGTAAGAAGATTTCATTGCTCTCTAAAAGACACTAAAAGTGTAATAAAATAAAATAAAAAGGCATTTATATTCCATGTCATTCTTTCCAAAACTGTGCTGGAAACTCTTTTGTGTTAGATATTTTTAAGACTGGCATGGTTATTTCAAACTCCCAATACTTTTCTGGTCCAGAGAGGGAAATGTTATTAAAAACATTCAATAAAATATGGTTTGCATAAACAAGTAATGCAGTATTTTAGAATATAAATGGAAATGGAAATTACTCTGCACTGGCTTACTATACCCTGTTTATCATTTTGTAATACAGGTGATGCAGCTGTTCAATGGTAACTAGAAGAAAGGCTTTAATATTTCGGGTTGCTAGGTGCAAAATACTCTATTTATGTGCCTGCTGTTATGACTCACTAAAGGCAAAGAAAAACTTTACAACGGGAGAACAGAAGTTTTTTCTCAACTGATGATTTTTATATTAAATGAAAAGAAATAACTGCAGGTATTCATCTGTTTTCTGTCATTGTGCATGAAATCAGACTAATACACTGCATCACTTTTGCCATCAGAGTCCCTCTTAGTTATATGTTTCCTCATAAAGTAAGATTATGCCTTTATGTTTCCTTCAGTAAAATCTATCTGAAAGCACATGAAAGTGCCCTTAATTAGGCCATCAAAGCAAACAACAAAATTCTCTAGTGAGCCTGAAACATATTAGCAATTACCTTTTCATGTGTTGGTGCTGCGCCATCGTGATGGTACAGAGATGCAGTGGTTCTTTCTTAAACAGATTTGTTTGCAAAGGAAGTTTCATGGTCTATTGATCTAACAGAGCCAGCTTGTACTTTCCTCTGTGCTGGACAGCACCCATCAGCACATGCTCACTCTGTGTTTTGGGTGCAGTTTGTCAGGGTTCAGAGGCAGAGAGGGGCAGTGATTAGCCCAGCAGGTTGCTGCATCCTTACACCCAGCCCATGAGCTGCCTGAGCTGGCCCCAAAGTGCTGGAAGTGGGAAGAGCTGGAAATGGGAAGTGCTGGAAATGGAACGGCCACATCCATGCAGCACCATGGAAGGCAGGGGGATTGGCCTGGGCTCAGTGTCACACCCGTTTTATTGTTTTCAGGTTTGTCTGTCTGCAGGATGCTGAACTGTGCCCTAAAAGGCCACTGGCTGGCTCTGAGATGCCTCAGGGGTTTTAGGAACAGTGTTACTCAGTGTTGAGCTGAACTGAAGGTGGAAAAAACAGAAGACTCAGTCCTGTCTCTGCTGTTGGCCCCTAAATGACTGAAGCCATTTCATATTTCTGTGCCTCGGTTTCCCAACATGAACTGGGGAAGGTGCTCTGGCTCCTCCCTAGCAGAGCTTTCTCCTGAAAAATGCTCAGTGGGTGCCAAGGGTGTCAGTGATGTGTCTGTCAGCAGTTTCAACAATGATGCAGTGACTGTTAAAGTCAAGTTAAAGAGTAGAGGCAAGGTTGCACCTCATGGCTACCTTCACAATAACATTTTTTTCTGCTGCTTTATTCCGCCTTTTACAGCATGATTTGGGCACAGCTGCTGCAGCAAGCATTACACTCCTTTTGAAGTGTGATCTGTTTTTCCTGCTGAAATTTCAAGTTTCCTTTAGAGGCTGCATACTAAAAAGATTCAATTTCATCACAATTCCACATCAGAAGCAAGATATGAGAAGCGCAAACCTTTTAAAATCTAGTTAGCCTCAGTGCTGCATTGCTCACATTACAGACCTGGCCCTCCTTAAGGAGCTGAGACTGAATGTACAAAATAGTAAAGGAAAATTACTCAGCCAACCCTGAGGTTGACAGGCATTCTGTTAAACACAACAAACGAGCAAGTGCCAGCGAGTTACATCCAGAAGCACAGCAATCATTTAGTTACAGGCAATTAACAACAGTCTTCCAGTAGCTCAGAAGTAGTTCTACTCCAAGGAAAACACATTGATTGCTGCAGCAGTAGTAGATTGGTTTCTGAATAAATAGCTTCAATTTAAAACAAGATTCGTTACAAGCATTTTGACCAATGGCTACAATTTTTTTCCTTATCAGGAGGCTTTGGCCAAGGAACTCAGTGATAGAGACAGCTAATTAAAAAAAGCACGTGTCCTCTCCAAATATCAAGCATATATGGCTTGTAATAAATGCACTCATTTTATACCATTTCTTTCCTAATTATCAGACACATTTGTAGGTTATATATTTGATCTTCACCTGGATCTAATATTTTGATAAACTTCCTTTCACAGTGTCATACAGGTAATTCACTTATCATAACTGAAGTTGTAAGAAGAAAGTAAATAAAAGTGTTCTGTCAAAGTTTCATGTCTTTTGACTTATATGACATGCTTCAGGAGCTTTACATTTAATGATCTGTAAAAATTTAAAATTAATTTTATTCACTAATTAGCCCTCATACAGCTGAAGTGCTAAGAAAAAGAATTATATTTCAAACTTTTTTTTTTTTGTGATTTATAACACTTGGAGCACATGTGATTTATAGCTGTGTATTCAGTTTCTGAGCCTTTTTCAAAATCCAATTACAGTCTATCTAAGGTTTCAATTTTGCAATCACTTACGCAGATTGCTCAACTTCATGGACTATAAGTAATCCCTCTGAAGTCAACAGGACTATTCACAGAGCTTCAGGTTAGCACATAAATAAATCTTTGCAACTTTGTGGCCTAAACTGATTTCCATTCTCTGCTTGCCTTGGATAATTTACCTCACAAAGAGATAGGGTTTGGTTAGAGGCAGTTCTCAGTTTGTTTAGGTATATTTTCACAGACTTCAATTATTAAAGGAAACATAGACAATAAATATAATTTGGAAGGGGAGCAGGGACTGCAGTGTTATAACATGCAGGTTTGGTTTTGAACGGGTGTGTTTCCTCTAAAGGAAGACGAAAGCTGCCTAACACAGGAACACTTGTCTGAGTCTCGTTTCAGAGATCAGCCGTAAACAGCAGGCAGAGTTCAAGCTAGCAACAAAGAAATGCATACTCAGTTTTAAAATGAAGAAGTATGCATTTTTTTCCTCTTTCTTTTTCTCTTTTTTTCTCCCCCTGCTTAGTACAGTATGTGTTATGGCATAGCTGTAAAACAATACCTTCCCAAAGTATATGGAACCACAGTTTTATACAGCAGACACATATCCAATACATGTATGTATAAAATCTATTCTCTACTTTTTAGGGCTTTTGTTTGCTTGTTTCAAATTGCAAAACAAAATCTAAAGGTACCTAAATTGATATATGTGAATATCCTATATGAATATCCTACATGGATACTGTTAGAAATAATTACTGATTGATTCTGTAGGACAATAATACTTCTGATAGCAGTAGACGCCGATTTGGGCTACTCATTAGCTTGATTATGAGATCACTTCTTAGCATAAAATATATTTTTTCTGCCAGCATGGGCCACCCATGCCTGTGGATGTCTGCAGAACTGACTGAAGCTGGCTGAATTTAGTTGTGGTTTTCAGTATGGTTTTCAGTACAGTAATTTCATTTTATTTATTAGAACTATTGGGGCCTGGTTTTCTTTCTTTATTTTTTATAACAAAAAATAATATATATCCCTGATTCCCTTATTAAAAAGAACTACTCATGTTTGGGATTATATATACATAAGCATGTATGTGTGCAA